GTGGGTTACCCCACGGCACTTAGGCCTTACTAGGTCCATTGTGTATCCACCTAAAATGGTAGGCACCTCCTAGCTCGTGAGCCAGCATACATATTTAATGTAGTTGATAACGTCGCCAAGAGGTGATTCTCTTATATCGCCTGATGCGATAGCCAATACACGCCGAAAACAAATCTTCTAATAAATGAGAGCGACTGGCAATCGTAGAGGATATGTTCGCAACCCCTGATAGGTGCGGATTCTGACAGCCCCATGATATCGAGATGCTTCCGTACTTGGCAATGACCAGTCAGAATGCCTGTAATCAGGCGCAGATTCTGTTTAGTCGTAGTCAAGTATTTGTTTGTTGTTGTGTTGTCAGGATAACTTAAAAGCTCCATGGTAACTAAGCAGTTTCTTATTTCATCCCATCTTTCCTTTAATTTCACAAGGGAATATTCTTTAATTAGGTATGTCACTACCGATGTTGTCAGTTTAATAGAAGGGCCAGGTCCAAAAAGTATTTGGTTGGCCACCTTCTTGGATAATGAATCGGCAATAAGACTACCTTTCGATGTGGCGTAACCTTTGATCCATCCATCTTAAGGTGACCAAATTGTTGAATGGATACTCTTGCCAAAGCTTCGTGGCATTCTAGTACTAACCCTGAGTAAATTCGTAGCCTGTTCAAGGTAAGTACTGTTTATCTGCTCTCTGTATAGATGAACATGTTCCTACCAGTGATATTGTTTCTAATTATTTCTTTTGCTGTTATGAGAACCTCCGTGATCTCCGTAAACTACATTGGCACTATTGCTCACAGCCCATTTTATGTTGAGGTTTAAGGAATTGGAGTATATTCCACATCTTGAGCATTGTTTTGTTGTAGAACCGTCGGTGTAGATATGAATCGTACCTGCCACTTCCGGATCTTCTATTTGTTTTGTTATAACTTCATACGGCTTATGAAAGATATATCTCGGTGAGATGAAGTTCATGTTCGCTTGAAGCAGTGGGAGCGTATCGAGCGCCTCCTGCCAAAAGCCACGTCTCGCCTCACCAGATCGGAGGCATGTCATTGTCGTTAGAGCAATCTCCTTGATGTAAATATCAAGGGAGTGAGACTAAGAATGACTTTTATGGCTCTAGTCGGTGTTGTTTTCATGGCTCCTGTTATGATGAGACATGCTGTTATTTGAATTTGTTCTATTTTGCGGATAGCTGTCAATTTTTGGATTTTCGGTACCCAGACTCCTGCACCGTATATTAGCATAGGTTATGGCCATGTAAATCCATGTGACGACTCTGGGGGAGAAACCCTACGGTTTGGTAGAATTGTTTATAAGTAATGTATGCTCTTTTGAAGTGTGAGTTAACTTGTTGTCAAAGGTGCTACCTAGGTACTTCATCTCTGTTACAAAGTTGTGTTTCGTGTTTTGGATCTTTGTAGGTTTTAATTTCATTTTTATCCTTTTCTTTGTGAAAAGGATTATTTCTGTCTTCTTAGGATTGATAGACAGTGAATGGTCCTTGCACCACCGTTCCATAATTTTTCTCAAAATTCTCTATTTGCAGAATGACCAAGTCATTTTCTTTCGGTATTGTTTATTGTACCTACTGAATTATTTCGTTATTAAAATAATCTATTTGACATAAGGTTTGTTCCAACACGCGCGAAAACCGTAATATTATCGTACAAATCGTGCGCTTTACACAAAAATTGTATAGAGCGCATGATTTGTACGGTAATATTACAGTTTTCGCACGTGTTGAAACAGTCCTAATATGAACATAGTAAGAATGTGTTATCTATCATTGTTACTTTAGTATGTGTTTAAATTTAATGAACCAAACGACAAAAATTGATTAATTTTCATACGTTTCCCAGTGTATTAAGTTCCCTTGCTTTGGTACATACGAAAACTCATTCAGTTTCGCTTCTTGGGTAGGTATTCTTTGACACAAGGCTATATCAGCAAGTATAAAGGGGTACTATTCTAGCTATGCCTACTGATAGAGCCATAACCACATACAAATTTGAAAGAAAGTTTTAAATTCAAATACCAGCCCGAGAATACTGGAAACAGGGACCTCCCATACAGGTTAAACTCATCTGGTACACAGACGGTTTAAAAACCAAGGAAGGAGCCGATGCTGGAATCTATGGACCCAAGTCGAAACCAACGATTTTGCTGAGTTTAGGAAAATATGGAACAGTGTTCCAAGCTAAACTAATAGCCATACAATACTGTACAAGAGAAATACTAAATCAGCAAGTATCAGGTAAAACTATTGCCATATACTCTGATTACCAAGCAGCTCTAAAGGCAATTCTCTTACCATAAATCAAATCACGGCTGGTGAAAGACTGTTTATAAGACCTGGAAGAGCTAAGTAGTCAACACAAGGTGACACTAGCTTAGGTGCCAGGCCATGAAGGATATCAGGGCAATGAAAGTGCCGACGAATTAGCCCAAGAGGGCTCAGATAAGGCCATGACAGGCCCCGAACATTTCAGTGGAGTTGTGCAAGGCATACATCAAACAATGTATGCAAAAAGAGTCTCAGAAATAGTGAAACAACTATCCAAGACTGAGATAGGCCAAACAGTTTATCAAGGAACCATCGGCCAAGTTCACGAAATACCTACTGGATCAAAAACGCCAATTCGTTAGGATAACAGTAGGTCTTCTTATCGGACACTGTCGCCTTAAAAGACACATGAGTGTTATCAATCTAGCAGAAGAAGCAACTTTGTGAAGGTTCTGTGAAGAAGAAGAGGAAACATCATTCCACGTCCTGTGCCAATGTGAAGGCCTGGCTGGAATGAGGTTTCTAACATTGGGCGAAGAAAATCCAAATGCATGTAACTACATACGGGAGCCACTGTCAATAATAAAAAAAGACCATGCTAGACGACATACTCTAAAACTAACGGAGTACAACAATAGATCTGAAAAGGTCGCGGTGGACAAGGACAATTAACATCCAACTCCCAATCTAATCTAATCTAAATCTAAGTTGATATTGTTTTTGTTTCTGGGTTAGGATTTTTTAACCCCCCCCCTTCCATTTAATTCATTTTTTTTTAAGAATCAATAGGCGTCATCCCCGTATAGAGCTTAATTTTTAATAAAAATTTCTGATATTTTTTTTATTTCAACCCTTAACCCTCATTTTTATTAAGATTTTGTTCAAAATTAATAGCGTTTTGCCCTAATTCAGTTTGATTTTTGATATCATTTTCGTTTTTGGATATCAGTTTTCATGTTTGACTTATCGTACAGACAAAAAACATGACATCGGACAAACAAGCATTTCTAAAAATTGTTTAAAATTTAATAAAATTTGGTTTTATATTAAAAATTTTGGTTCCTCAAAAGTAAACCTATAAGCCAATACTCTTCACAGACTACTCTGTAGAAAGTATAATAAGCATATTTATTAGAAAGGCAAAAAATCAAAAATGCTTGACATAAAATTTTATTGTAAAAAACAGGCGAATGCAACTAGTTTCGGTAGCTGGTGTCCATCGTCAGACTTAAAAAAAGAATAGAAAATTAATAGACAGATGGAGTAGGTTTTTCCTTTTTTAAACTTGTAGTAATTTGTTTAACATCGGCCTATTTCTAAGTACGAGGTTTAAACACCGACGCTGAATCCGCTGGTGGTCCAACCAGGGGGAGCGATTTTTAATGAGACCAACATCCGTGGATTCGGGACCGATGGTTTCATTGAAATGAGCACCTAATTCAGCTACCAACTGCGCTAGGCCTGGCTTGACTGCAGGTATCTGTACACAATAAGTAAACCTGCTAAGCCGGGCCGCTGTCCCTACTTTAATATTATTATTTATGAACTCTGAAAGTAACTAACTATATCTACTAATATATTTCTTCTTTTTTTTAGGTAAGTCATCATGGGTTAAGTCAGTCCTAAAATCCAATCAACAAAAAGGTATTTCCTTCAGTTTTAGTTACACGGTTCAACAACTCTTTAAGTTACAAAGAATGCAACTATTAAAATATACAATTTTTAGTTCTATACTTTATAATAAATACCAATTTATACGATGTAAAAATATTGCAAAGGTACAAATAATATCTTGGATCTATTGTATCCCCCTGTTGTTTTCATATTCAGATACTATCCTGGGCCTTTGGTTATTTTTACTAGATTCCCTACCAGGAGTTCAGGGTGAGGGTCGAAGACACCATGACATGCGTTCTCTGCCTCTTCCATGTAAAGTCTACAAGTGGTGCGATCAATGTGTAATCCCATCACATGAAGGTGTTTTAACAAGCATTGTCCCGTTAGTAATCCTACAATGCAATAGTGGATATCCAGCGCCTTGCGAGCTGCAGTACCTAAGCAGTCATGCGTGATTTTGGTTCCTTTAGCATCAGCTTACTGATTATGTACCCTTTTATCAATTGTTAGTGAGTTTGGTGTTAGTGCTTATCCACCTGTTCGCCGTCTGTCGAGCAGAGGTTTTGCTTATCCCAAATATAGGATCGGGTCATGTGAATAATAGTTCTGATTCCTCTTAGGCGAGCTTATCACCCTTTTCATTTCCTTGGATACCTTTATATCCTGGTACCCACGCTGGTTTTACCTTATTGTAGGTTGCCACTTAAGTATTCCAAGGCAGTTCCAGGCCCGCTTTGACTAGATTTTATTTGAATCAAGGGCATTTTGGCTGTCTGAGAGAATTAAGACTCTATCTAAACACATATGTATTTCTATCGTTGTTTTGTATATGATACTTTTCAAAACGAACATAAAACCAAAAAACAGTGTCGCCATCTACATAACCAACATTGAGATACGACCCCCTCTTAACATTACATCCGAGATTAACGCCCGTATGCACCGTACACGTTTAATCCAGATCAAGGGTTTAATCGCGTTTAGTACTATTTTTAGCTACGAAACGCGATTAAACCCTTGATCTGGATTAAACGTGTATGGTGCATACGGGCGTAAGCCCTTCTGGACGAGCCTCAAAAATGAATACTAACCGAATTTAACATCTTCTGCAATTTTTCTTTCTATTATCGAAACCGTGGATATGAGCCTCAAAATTTCTTTAAAAACTTGATCCAAATAAGTCATTTTTTGCAGTGTTTCAACACTGAGATTCTTTTTATCTCCTTGAGTATGATACAGGATTTCTTGATATAATTTTTCTTGTATATCTGGGTGTGCAGCTAACTCAAGCAGTAAAAATGATATTGTTGTAGAAGTTGTGTCATAACCCTAAAAGAAAAATTATATAATCTAATATAATTTGTTTTATTCAAAATTTCTATTTCTATAGAAACACATAATTTTTGCAAAGACAAATTGCAAATAAGAAAAATAAATTTATGGATTTTGATTAAATTTAAAGGTGGTTTTAATTTGGTATACGCAAACAAGTTTTAAATAAAAGTTATATAGATTTAAAAAAGACGTATTTTAAAAATATTTTTGAATATATAGGGTGTTCCGTTTTTGTCTGGCAAACAAAAATCTATATTTTTTTAAATAGAACGCCCTGTATTTTATTTTAGTATTAGAATGTTTTGGTAATACTGTATTCAACCCTCGATTTATTTAAAAAAATATTACAGGTTACCAAGCAATTAATTTTTTTATGAAATTAGAGAATGATGCAGACACCAAATTAAATTATCATAATTTAGGTAGCTTTACAATGATTTCAAAATTTTCCAAAATACAGATTTATAAGATATTAAGCTAACGAATAGTGGTGAGAGAATTGGTTTATTTTATACAGAGTGTATATCTTAAATATGGCTAATTTTAAGTTCAATTTACTCAACACCCTGTATATTATTTTAACATAAAAATCCTTATACATTTTCCTATCTAACGATATCAACATGTTAGCCTATAACACATATACAGGGTGTCCCATCAGTGCGTAATTGATCGATAGCTGTTTCATGATTGGAAATACGAAAAAAAATTAATATTAAAGTTGTATGACCATTGACCATGTTTAATAAATATTCTTAAAAGTAACGGAGGGGCTGACCAAACTTATACCTTTTTAAAGCAAAACACCCTGCAGTTAGTGATTGTTTTCACATCGACAAACAATTTTAATAGACGTCATTTATTTGCTTTTTTGTACATAGGGTGTGTCAAAATGCGGTGTAAGGATTTTCTAACTTTTTTTTAACATGCTGGCTAACCGTCCGCCGGCGGTGCTTGCATTTTTTGAAAAGAACACCGTCTTCCGGCGGCATGGTTTTCTTCATACAGGAAAGCCGCCGCAAATCTAAACTGATTTGTTGATCAGGGTGGCATGCTATCAGTAAATTGAAAAATGCCGCCTGACCACGGTCTACTGTATTTAAAACATTGAATGCCGGTGGTAAGAAACAATACTTGTAAAATCGTCTACATTTTTGTGGCAAATTATCATATTTCGTACGCGTTTTATTTGTACATTGGTCTCCTTTTGACAGAGTAGATGAGCTGTGTCCAGGCCGTTGGTGTTTATGCCGGTCGGCGTAGCCAGGTATGGATTGAAATTTTATGGTGGCGGCGAAGCCGCCACCCTACGAGAAATCGTTGCTTCGTCTTCTTGTTGTCACGGCAATATTATTATTTGTGGTGACCTTTGCAATTGCAGAAATTGCACACACATTTTTAAAACAGCACTTTTTTGTGGTTTGATTATTTCTACCACAGCACGCACATTTTTCCTTCATATTTGCACTAGCACTTGATGGACCTTGTGTAGATGATGGATTATTGCGTTGTTTATTCCTAGTACTGACATGATGAACTCCTGGTTCGATTTTAATTACTGGCTGCTCTTGTCTAGACCCATTTTGTTCGGATGCCGCCATTTCTGTTACAGCGGTTTCAATGGCTTCGGAAAAGGTACAACTTAAGTTTTCCTTAAAAAGTCTAGATTGCACTGGCCCTTTACAAAACCGACTATAAAACGATCTCGCAGCATCATATCAATTACAGCATCTTCAAATTCGCAATTTAGCGCTAAATTTCTTACTCTGTCGCCCACTTATTATCGCTTTCATATGGATCCTTGAAAGCACCAAAAAACTTGGATCGTACCAAAAGTGGAGATTCTGACTTTTCTTAAATATTTATTAAAAAGCTCTGTGAGTTCCTTGTAACTTTTATCTTCTGGTATTCTCGGCAAACATAGATTATACTTAAGTTTATATGTATCTTTATCCAGAGCATTCAGAAGAATTGCACTTTTTTTCCATCTTCGATAATATTATTTACCGAAAAGTAACTATCGAGTCGTCATTTATAAATGATCCAGTCACTATTTTGAGCACAGAATTCTCGTATTTGTCCATAATATGATGGATTTTTTCCGGCATTTTTTAGACGGCGATTTTATTTTTTCTTTACTCACGCACACACTAAATACGGAAATTTCAAATTCAGGGTTCGTATCACTTATTCTGAAGCGATATTAAAACACACTCGTCGCCAAGATTTGTGGGATATTCAACAAATAATAATGTACTAAATTCCCAATAATTATTTATTATAATAACAACTAACTCGATTTAATTTATGGTGCTGTTTGTAACAAAACTGCTCTAGAAATAAATTCTGTAGGGGACTAAGTGTCACAAGCTGAATTGTTACTCCTAAAGACCAACGCTCGTCACCAAATGTAACAACCAGTTAGCCTAAAGACCATTTGTAACTACTGATAGGTCTTTAGCTACTGTTACTATACTATTAAGGGATAAAGGCAACGCTTGTCACCAGCCCTAGGGTCCTGGAGTCCTGAAGGAACATCCATTCGCCAGTGGCAAAATAAAATAATAAAAGAAAATAATAAAAATACAAAAAAAAAAAAACATCCCTTAATAGCATATGTCGAGCGGTTTTGGCAACTGACTTAAGACTCTCAAGTCCTTAAGGGTAGGAACGCCGAGGCTTAACATGCTCGGAATATTTCTTACTGGTTTTTGGAAAGAGGTGAGAATAAAATAGGTTAATAAACAATAACACGTATATTTAAATATAAGAAAAAAAATGAATAACAAATTTCAATAAATCAAAACAATCTCTATTTTTGAAATAAGACATAGCAAAAATGACTACAAACAATTGTAAATCTTTATTATGATAAACCATGTTAATAGAATATAATCTATGATGAAACTTTGATATAAAGAAACGTTTTACATCACAAAAACATTTTAATATAAAAAAACTCTTATATGATAAAACCCTTAAAACTGATAAAAACATTTAATAAGTAAACTTGGGACGAAAATGAAAGAATTGGCATTTGAAGAAAGACTAATGAACTGTTTTAAAATACATAAACCAAACAAGAGATTTAACCATGTTATAATAAAATAGATATTACCTTTGAAACTAAAACACTACACACACACTTTACTATATACAATAAATATTAATAATTACTAAGTTACATTTTTTGGGCATAGGTTTGGCCCAACGGCCGCCCCTTGAGTCCTCCCGTGTCAACGATTGACTTTCTATTTATATCAACCTTAACGTGATTATTTTACAAGAAACGACTTATTTATTTTTAATGATTATTTGCACGATTTGTCCTTAAATTTACTAGTGCAATGAACTATTTCTAATTGTTTGGTTTTAATAAATATGTTGTGTTAATTTAATAGGTATTAAAAATATTAGATATTTTTGGGATTTTTGTTAAATTCTTTGTATTTTAAAAATAATAATGCCAATTATTACAGTGAATTAAAAACTAATATTTTGCAGATTCTAAAACCGGAGGTAATCCAAAATTAGACTTTGCAGACTTGTACTTAAATTAACGCTTTTGTTGTAAGTATTACTTTTTACTTGAAAAATGTACTGGAAAATCCGAATCTACTTAAAGTTTTTTCTGAAAATACTTAAGTAATTTTTAACAGTAAGTACTTAAATGGAAAATACTTAAAGTACTTTTGATACTATTTTAAGTACATATTTACTTTAAGTATTTTATAAAAAATACTGCAACGCCAAACAAGCTATGACTCATATTTCATATTACCTGGACTGTAAACAGTATAGTGACAGTAAACAGTGTAGTGACAGTAAACAGTATAGTGACAGTAAATACGCTCAAACAAATCAAATCTACGTCTAACGTGTGCCGATGCCGGACTTGTAGTTCACCGATATATGGTACTAATAATACTACTCGTAATACTCGCGTATCGGGGACAACACTAATCATTTGTAGTGCGCATGTCGTACGCGTTTTATTTGTACATCGATCTTCTTTTGACAGAGTAGGTGAGCTGTGTTCAGGCCGTTGGTGTTTATGAAGGTTGGCGTAGCTAGGTATGGATTAAAATTTTCTACGAAAAAAGTCGTTGCTTTGTCTTCTTGTTCTCACGGCATTATTATTATTTGTTCATGTATGTGAAATTTGCTTCTAAAGTTTATAAAATACTACTGCTAACGGCGTAAATGAAAACAAACAAGACGCATTCACACAAACACCTCCCACCACAGCAATTACAAATGATTAGTGTTGTCCCCGATACGCGAATCTCGCAATAAGAGTAATAAGCATACAGTCCTAAGATAGTGTATAGTCTACAGGTACAGAGTGTATCTGAAAATAATTGTGTATTAGATAGATAAGTGAAATAATATGATACCTCTCTTTTTGTTGGGTTCTATCTCGTATCCCAATGTGTGGGCGAAATGCTTGAAGAAATTAATTTTTCACATATGAAAAAAAACTTGTTTTGCGTATCTATGACGATATAAAAATGTTTTTTTAACAGTTGTAAAAAAAAATATTTTTTCTACACATAGATATTAGCTTATCTACGCACAGACTACAAAACGAAAAGGTATGTCATTGCGTTCAACCAAACAAATATATTTCATATTCATTCTAGGTAGTAAGAGTACTGCAAAAAAAGTGAAATCCACCAATCACAGTTCATATTTTCGTTAGTGGGTGGTAGAAAAAATATTCTGTACAACTCGAGTGGATTGTCCATATCGCACTCTATCATATGCACTCTTGTTGCACAAACTACTATTTCCACACAGCGTGCGGAAAATTCAACTTTCAGCACACATTTACGTGCGCAAACAACGTTTTTCCGCACGCAAGTAAGAAAAATATATTTTTTGCAGAATTCTATGATTTTTTTCTATAAAAACAAGAATCTTAATCGGTTTACTTCGAGGGTAAACCGCATTATGGTAAGGTACCTTTAATTATTGTATATATTTAATATCTACAACTTATAGAAATCATGGAAGTTGAGCATGATTTATTTGAGGCGACTTCGGCTTCGCCAGAGGACCCGTTCCAAATATCAGACGACGATGACCCAAGTTAGACCCCCAAAACACCCAAAAAAGATGTTGCCAGATTATTTTGGAGTAAGGAATAAAACAATAAGTCAAATTTTACAAATTGAACCAAGTCAAAAACCAGAGCAGTTTAGCAATGGTCAAGATAATTTGTTTACCGAAAAAATACAAAGCAACCCTCTTTTAGATGGAAAGTTCTATGAAGTTGTTGAAAAATATATAATTTATTTAATCATGTCATCATCTAACAAGTAACAATGTAACAAAAACGCCGAGTAAAACTCAAGATTTCAATTATTTTAATAAACCAAGTATACATGGTATATTGTATGTTATACACATACAAACATATTGGATGGCCATTTTTATTGGTCATGTCTACTAAACGAAATAGTAGTGTACTTTATTAATTTATACAAAGCTATATATGTTGAGTTTTAAGTTGATAACTCAAGAGGGGATCTTTAATTTAATATATACTTAAAACATGACTTAAGTAATTAGTATTTCAAAATACTGAATCTTTAAAAGTACTTTAAGTATTTTTAACATATTTTCAGTACTTAGTATTTTTAAGGTATGTACTTGCTACTTATACTTGAATTATTTGTTTTAAGTAAAATACTTAATATTTCAAATACTTTCGTAAAATACTTATACTTAATATTGTAAGTAAATTTGGAATTTAAATTACTTAATACTGGTTACTTGAAGTACATTTGCTAAATACTTATCACAGCTCTGCTCACTAGAAACATAATTTTGTAATCCCATTGCAGCCATCAATCCAGGTACATCTTTACAAAATACGAAATTGTCTTCTTCAGCAAAATATTTGAGGAAATTTATGTTTCTTTCGTTACCAATTTTCTTTCTTTAGCCTTGAAGCCAAAATTTCTGAAGCTGACTTTGACAGTTTCAGATCTCTAATTAAGTCGTTTAAATCATCTTGATTAAATGGTTTTGGCGTTCCCAGGTCGCATTCAAAATCACTATCACTACTGTCGTTTTTCGTTATAAAATCCTCTGGCTCTTCCTGTAAAGTACCAGATTGTGGTTCAGATGTAGACTAAGGGCTCAGGACACGTCTATGTGCGGATTGAATGGAAGGATATTCATTCCCATTGGGCTTGATTTTTTCGGTTAATACCAGTTATGTTCACCAAACAAAAATAACAATCGTCATGGTGGTTTTGTACCTGAAGCTATGTCTTTTCTTATTTGTCCATAAACGTAGGAACTCAACGCATGTTTTGCATACCTTTTGCGGAATCCAAGGCTTATTCTTCATTTCCAGCGATTGCCCAAAGTAATTTTTGTAAGCCTCATTTACGAACGTTGTCACATTTAAACGGTATTCTTTAAATACATACTCTCCGCAAATGCAACAAAAATTGTTTGAATCATTCACACATACTCTTCTTGACGATGCCATATCATATTACAAAATAAAACAATAATTCAAACAAGAAAGATAATTTCACTATTGTCTTACTAAACCTTCCCCTAAAATAACAAACGATCATTTCTTAAGAATTCTGAAATTGGGTTTTACCGGTCAGTAAAGAGAGGTACTTTTATCTTTATAAGTATGTTCTAAGAAACTACAGGGGGTGTCCGCGGTCGTACAACAGAGGGTCGTTAAAGAGGATTATAAATTAATGATATTTCCAAATAAAATTAAATATGTATAATAATTCAATAATTATTATTAAATAAACTGCAAATAAACACTATAAGACAGCGAATTTTTAGTGAAAGCTATAACTCGTAAACAAGAACTGTCAGAAAAAAAGTAGGGGTATATTTAGAATCAGTGACTTAAAATTAGTAAACATCATGTGACATAAGTCATTTATCAGTCAAAAAGTGTAATTTTGATGGCCAGTGTTATATATAGCACACGTCGATCTTGTATCATGAGAGCATGCACCTTTTTAACATTTTCTTGTGTAGTAGCGGTTGTGGGCGCCCCACCTGCATATTCGGACGTCTACTGTAGCCGGCTTCAACAGGTTTAAACTTGTAATAATTGTCTATACATAACACGTTAAGATGCCGGCATGTGAAGTGCCGCGCCCGGCGCGTGAAGTGTGGAGTGCCGCGCCGATGCGCGTTTGGGCGACAGCGATCACACGGCGTGTGAATTGACAAGCTTCGAGCCGCGCGGGTCACTGATCTTCATTTGAATATGTCCCCTTGTCTACTTTTTGTTTGAAGTGTGCAAATTTTACCGACAATAGATGGGACATATCACGCCGCGCGGAAATCGGCACGCCGGACCATTCTCACGGCGCGTGGAACGACACTCCACGCGCCGGGCGCGGCACTCCACACGCCGTGTAATGGTATCTTTACATTTCGACGAGAAAATAAAAAATTGTTTAGATTGTAAATGGGTCAGGTGCAGCGCAAAAAGATCAACCCTTTACTTACTCGAATTTTTATAAAAAAAAACCACTTACAGTTGCGTTTTGGAGGAGTTAAAATAGATCACGTTTCTAGTTTCTGTTAAAAAACATGTTCATACTTACAGCAAAAAGAAAATTACTAATTTCTTCATAAATATCATCATCCGATAACTCAGGATGTTCGATTAGTGCATCAATCAAAATAGACCTCTTATTTCTGATACGTTCACTACCATCGTCGGAATTCTCATTTTTCTTTCTTTTTTTCTTAATTATCTCAATCGCCATGGAATCTAAAATTTCTAAAGCTTCCTCTTGTTCCTTATATTCTTTGGCAAAAAATTTAAATGGTAAATCAAAGCGTTTCCATAGACTGAAATTTTTTATAAACATTAAATTGGCCAAGTAATTTGTGGCTTTAATGTAAGAGTGGTTACTTCCTTGTTGGATGTTCAATTTTACACCAAACGATGTCTCTAAAAAATTAATAAAATTCATCATTTGTATTTTTTTTTATTAAACAAACTTTTGGGAGACAGACATGGTTGTCGTTATTATTAAAAACAACTACATTTCATTATAAATACCATAATTTTATTCTTAAATCAATAATTCAAAACTTTCAGCAATCATTCACTTTCATTTCAATTGTATATGACACGTGCGCCTCCTATTAAGAAAGGGTGGTCACGAATATAGTCTCATTAGCTTTATGCAACCCCCTTTGATTTGAAATAATTGGCTGTAGTACCTCATTAGTCTCACATAGTTAAAGTAAATTCTTCTTTTTGGCAAACTGACTTAATGATAGACGCATTTGCCATGAACTTGACAGTATCACATGTTTCAAATAATTGTAACCTCAAAATTTTAATAGTTCGACTAAACAACTAGTTAGTTGTAAGATTGTAAATAATTTAAAAAAAGTTTAATTAATAATTACTATAATAATTTTCACCAATTTTACGAACCAATCTAACTAAGTTGTAAGTCAACACATTATTCAATTGTTCATCATTTAATTACTGAGGCCCTTCCTATGGGGCCTCAGTATTTTCTCACCCCCATTTTTTAAAACTTTTTTTTATGTTTTCGATCATTCTGAGTCGGAAAATGCAAACAAATATGTTCGTCTGGTCGTCTGTGTGTATGTATGCCGGACGATAACTCTAGAACGAAAGTTCTGATTGACTTGCGATTTTGATATTCTTGAATAGTTACTTCTAACTTAGAACCCTATTGATTTTCAGAATTTTCGGTTCATCCTAACTACTTTAATATCAATTTTCTTAAAATCCGCCTATGCATTTCTTATGTGACAATTTTAGGGATTCAAATTATTTCTAACGTTAACATTCCTAGCATTCTTAACATTCCATAAATTGCAAACATTGTCTAACGACCTGTCAAACAACAGCAGTTGATAGTAAAGGTGAAATTTATAAGGCAGGTTGCGACCTTCATACTTGCAACCATAGCCTTTTTGGAGGCTATTTTTATTTAAAATTAGTCGCCAAGCCTGCCAATTTATGAAAAATATATAAGCAGTTTCTTAAAAATTACTTTTTTTATGGTGGTGCTAACTTAAGCGTACTACTATTTGGCTCCTAGTCACTAAAATACCTTCATCAAATTTACTGGCTCTCTGTCGCAACCCCATAGAATAATTAACCGGCCATTTTATTTGGCAAAAATCAGATTAATGCTTGGCTGTGCCTGTGAAGTATCAAGATGTCAACTGTGATGTATGAATCGCTCTTAGATGTCAAATTATTTAAAAATGTATGCTTCTTTTGATATTTATTGCAAATAATTTGTAGTGTATCTCAATTCAAGCTTTCCGTAAATAAAGGTACAGCAAGACAGACATAATATAATGTTCTTATACAAAGCACTTTTTTGTTATGTAAAAGAGAGGTAGGATATAATGCTGTTTTTTGTAGATAATTTTAATTATACAATTTTGGATTACATATTCAACCAGCGAATTGTAAATAATTAGTAAACTCCTAGTAATAAATTTCCTCAATTCATAAAATTTTGAAAATAAATCTTCTTACCTTGGGATTTTAATGACGTAATGCAATCAACCCATTTCAAATTTTGATCAATTATGTTACCGAGGTATTTTGTTGTGGTTTTCGTTTTAATTATAAAGTTGTCATTTATTTGTATGTTGAAAGAAGGCCTTTGTAAATTACATTGCTCTCTATGGATCTACTTTAACACAAAAATAGTTTTGTGGGTTATAAGTTGCTATGACCTATCGTCGCAGAACTATTAATAATTTAAACATAGTAAGTAGTATTAATATAACATCAAGTAATTTTTTAAATAAAGTACATGATCTCAAAACAGAAATAATTTATAATAAATGCGGGTAAAACGAGGGGTAAAATAACAATAAATTAAGGGAAATACTTAAAAAGTATTTTTTCTTGTAGTTCTTGGGTTTTAGGTGTTTGTTGACGAAATGAAACTCGTGTTAAAGTAAAGCTTTCGGCCCTGCTCAGGGCCTTCTTCAGTGGTTTTTTTAATTTTTTTAAAAATATTTGTACATTATTGACAGTTGTTCTTTAGTACATTTTATGGGGTGTGTAATTAATTTTTAAATGTTTTAGATCCTTTTTTATTATTCTGTAATTGAATTTTTGTCATTTTCGTGCCCGGTATTTGATGCTATGGTATCCGTTATCAGTTTCGATAGTCAGGGTGTTATTACCCCCTTTTTTACGTTTTCGGGCAATCATAAAGGTCCGGAAATTTGAAAAATTTTTACTTGTTTTTTTTTTATTTTATTTTGCTATGCAACTACTATGCGCTTCGAGATTTATCAAGTGATACATTGTTTTTTTTTTAATTTCTGTAGACAGTCTATTAAATTTTTTAAACCGTTAATAAAAATTGTATTTTAGGAACTTTTAATGATGGCTTGCCGTACATGAAAGTCAGATTGGCTTCTTGTATTATAGTTGTGATATTGTAAATTATATTAAATTTTTTCTAATAGATCTGATGCTATGGTACTGAATGTACTGAACATAATTCTGAACTGAATGCCAATTTATTTCTTTTAACATAGTTGCATCCTTCTGTCCTTTATTAATAGAATATAAATAGGCGAAGTAAGGAGCCCAAATATTTTACATGAGCAGGCTTAAGAGGTAAAAGGGCCAATTATTATTGGATAAATTGCTCGAACAAGTTTTTAAACCCTAATCAAAAGGCGATATAGAATGGTTTTAAAAATCAAGGCTTGGGAAAATCATCACGTGATTTAACCTAAGTAATGGCAATGCTTCACAAACCAAAAAAATCAACGTCCTAATATCACTATTGGCTTTCGGTCTTTTGTACAAAGTTAAATCATTTCTCGTTTTTGTTACGCTACGAGTTTATCCTTGTGGGCCTCAGCCTCATTTTAACCTTCCGGGACTGGCGTGAATTTTTTGTGATCCGGCGATGGTGGCGGACTCTGAGTCCACATAACAGATTTGAACCAATTATAAAATTGTTTGCAATTATTTTTGTTTATTTATTTAAAAGCTTTAAAAATAAATAAACAACATTAATTTTGCAACATAAAAACATAAAGGAACATGAAATTTTGGCATTATTGGAAATACATCAGAAAATGTTAACATTCCTAAAACTAGCTACTAAAAACATAAAATCAACGTAATATAAAAACAAAAAAATATAAACCTATTATAAAACTATTAACTATGACATTCCAAACATATAGGTGTCAAATTTTCCAGACACATATACTTTGTACATATATTAATAGTGTGGTCAAAAATGGGATTGGCAACGGCGGCGGACTCTCACTCCGCAATATTTTATAACATAAGAACAAAAATACACTAACGCTTCAAACTTTGAGATACTATTACTTATTTGATGCTTAAAGAATACAGAAATGCACCGATTTGGGAAAGGGTGGGTAACGCGGCGAACGGCAAAAGAAAAGCGCTGCGGACTGAGAATCCGCGTGCCAGTCCCGGAAAGTTAACTTTGTTCCTTAACAAATATTTCTAGATCCCTGAAGGTGAATGTATTCACATTCGAAAGCTTGGAATAAACTTATAAGAGTACACATATCGTTTTACTGCAAACCCAATAACTTCAAAGTTTATATATATTTTATTTTAACAATAATTAGGAGAGAGAAGAAATACAGAAAATAGTTAATAACTTAAAACCAGGCCATTTATTTAGTGTACCTAGTATTCCTTTTTTTAATAAACTTTATCACTTACCTAGAACAATATCTAAAGACAATTTCGACGCAAAGTCCATAGCATTTATTACATTTTCTTTATCAGCTTCTTCTTGAAGTTTTCCTACAAGTACATCTGATGCTTCTTTGAAAACAGTATAAAACTCTTTTAATATGGAAACGTGAAATGTCGGATTAGTGAGTGTTCTTCTTGCTCTCCACTTTTCTCCTATCAAACAAATGAATATTTGTTATATCGGTTGAGGCAATTATCAATTTACACTTATGTCTCTAGTTTTAATGAACAGACGCTTATAGCCAAGTTCTGCAGAGAGCGACCAACTCACAAAAGATAGTTTTTGATAAAATTAGCATTTTAATTTTGAAAAATAATAAAATATTCTGGCTAAAGTACTATACAAATTTAAAATATTTAAAACAATTTTGTTTTCAAGTTCCCAAATAGTCCAGTAAATGAAAGACTGAAAAGATCGAAAGCTGTAAAAAACTCGCTGATGAGTTCCCATGTAGCTCAATTTGTAAGTCATCGGTGTTTTTAAATGAGAAAATCCTTAACGCGTTCTTGGTACCGGAAGGGGCTGAAAATGGAGCCCTAAACTCTGAAAAACGGGTTTCTTGCTAATATCTGGCTAAATATGCCAATTAGAGAATTTTTGTTCAGACAAAAAATAAAAATCAGCTCATTCTCTACAAAAATGATCCCTACCATTTTTTTCGCAATGCCAATATTTTTTGCAAAGTCAGACTTAGAAAAATCCATAATTTTCATATTAAACAGATATGGTAGTTTCTTGCCGAATTTCCGCTCGATGCAGATGGAAATGCATTGATCTTCATCTTTTGGACTTTAGAGACCAATTGCAGGTGGCGCCAGCACCTTTGCTCTTCTCGCTAATTTACGGAGTCCGTAAATGAAAATCTCGGAAATAATCGATTATTCGACAATTACTGGCGGATTTCACCTAATTTTTTTTTGCAAAGTAGCGCTTGGGCTCTCTCAGTTGTAATAGCGAATGTTTTGTGCAATTTGAGTTGCAAATTTACCAGAAAATTGCAAAAATTGATTTTTCCTTGTGCCAAGGTCTTGAATCCCGTTGTTTTGGCTAAAAACAAATGACAACGTTTAGAGCGTGGTGAATATTCACCATACAACCATTCTAAACATTTTTCGCATTTTTGAGATTTTTTTGTAAACTTTTTTTGGAATAATATGGGTGCAGGATTTCGGAAAAAATACGCAAATCTTTGAAAAATTACATTTATTTGGAAGAATTGGTTGAATATAAAACATACATAACAACCTTTAGGGTGTGCTCAACCACTCCAAGTCATCAGAATCATATACATATTCTTCATCGTCAACGGTATTCTCGTCGCTCCATTTCTACCCTTCCCCCTGTCGTCCTTTCTCTCTCTTCCTCCAGCTGTATTTCTGCCTTCTCGCTTTGCAACCCTTCTGTCTCTTCTTCCACCTCTATTTCTACTTTCACCTCTAATTCTTTCGTAAATATATATCTTCATTTCTTTTATAATTTGAACATTGTGTCAACTGACACGAACCACAGATGGACGAGCATTTCAGACCTGCTTTCAAACATAAACAATTCTTCTCGCAGCGTCTCTTACACTGACAAAAAATCATCTTTAAGAGTTCCGGTGGGGCCGGATCCTGTGTGATCTGGACCGGTAATAGCATTTCCTCTGCACGTTTCCAGTCCCATTCCTCTGGTGACAGTTCATTCCCCAGCCAATTCTGTACTTGTAAATATACCCTATAAAAGTTTCTGGAGAAATAGGTGGAAATTATCGCATTTCTCCTTGCTCACTCGAATCAAATTTTCTAAACCACGAGTAATACTTACACCGTCATCCACAACACCCTCCTTACAAAGAAAGCTTTCTGGAACAGAATCCGCTTCCATTTCAACAACACCAAAAGCTACCAAAAAATAGATGATCCAACCGTTAGAACAATTACAGCAAGTTTTTAAAGTTGAGACAAAATAAAACAAACCTTATTTTCTGCTTTCAACAAAAAAATCCTTGAATATTCTTTCTTGTAGACAAGAATAACGTGGAAATTTCTCACTTGAAACACTTCTTCTTTTTTTATAACTGAATTAATTTATTGAAAAATATTTATTTTATTTTAAATAAATAATTCAAAATAAATAATGAAAAAATATCAGCAGAACATCAATAATCCGGTCAAGCCGACGACTCCAAAACAGAGATTGTATACAAACACATGCAGACAACTATCGCCGCGTGGGTACACGAGGTTAGGTTATATACAATATCATTGATCTCAGAGGGCCAGCGTAAAAATGAAGTATATAATTGTAATATCCTTTTTAGAACCAAGAACGGATATGTGGATTGACTTATATCAATGGAAAGGTCAGAATACAAGCTTTACTTTGATCTAGTTATTAATCCTCAAAAAATAAAGAGCGGGGAACAAGAAATGGTTTAACAAAAAAAGGCCGGTTTTCACTCGTGTGATCAATTTTCCTAATTTCTTGAAATTATTAGACTCTACTAAAAATAAAAAAATATATTCGAAAAGTAGACCATCTAAGCTTTAAAATGATGTGCATTTGAAATCAATATAACGGATCATAAGATTATAATTCGCGCTTGTTCCGAAGATTCTATGGAACTCCGAAATCGGCTAAAACATGTAAATAAACAAATCAATTTTATATTAAAACGCAAGAAAAGTATGACAAAAAAAATTCTGAGATCATTCAAGACCCCCAAGGTCCCATTATAAAGGCAAAATTGGAATAAATAACTATTTTTAAAGAAAATATGAATAAATTAATGAAGCAATCTCTAAATATTGTTGAAAAAAACTTCGACCGCTTTTTTAAATATTTTTCACGGATACGAACTGACTTCAAGTTACATGAAATTGTAGATACGGGTTTTCCCATTGCGAAAAACTTTAAATCATCGAAAAATATCAATTTTTTCCCGAGATATGGAACAATTCGTCCGCCCGCTTACACGTTAATTCATAGAAAGCGGAATTCCTACAGGAAACACATTTTCCAGGTTTCAGGGGTCCATTTTTAGCCCCTTCCGGTACCAAGAACGCGTTAAGGATTTTCTCAAGTGGGGGCCCGGCAGCTTTAGGTGATGACTTTTGCTTGAAGACCCTTTTGTTTAGAGATTTCACTAAAGAGGAGGAGAAGTTTTTGCTTGAAGACCTTTTTTTTAGAAATGTGATATTGAAAAGGTTTAATTTTTTTTATAAAATTGTTGCGGGGGCCCGACGGCGGCCCTGTTTATGTTATATCCTTTAGCGTCTTCTTCAATATTGGCATATCCTTGAAGATTTCGGTAAAAGCTTAAACAATCTGATGGCATGAGATGATAACATCTCAAGTAAATTAGCAAGCTTGGGCTCTGCTCTTGCTTTCCCTTGTAGCCACAGCTTTCCAAATTTAAACACAACACACAGGGTAAGGACTTTAACTTGGACTAATTCGCTAGAGCTTGAGAAAAAAATATTTGAATTAAACGAAAAAACATGTCGATTGAAATTTGTTTTGTGTGCTTTAGTTATATTAAAAAAAAAAATCTCACATTTTGAGGGGTGAAAGTGATGAAGTCAAATGTGTTTTCCATTTAACAACTTTATTTAAACTAAATTTTTTTAGTTTCAAAGTTGACATGTTGACAAATTATGTAGCACATCTTGTAAAAAATGCATTTTTAAGCAGATTTTGTTCTATGAACTAATTCGATAAATCTAGCCATTTTTGCTATACAGAGTGGGTCACTCAAAACAGTTTCATCCTGTTTTACAGCATTATTCATTGGATTTTAAGGTAATGCTAAAACAGCTCGATTTTTATACCAAAGTAAAAACATTTTTACAATACAGACATCTGTCATGTGTCAACCCCCTCCCTTGCACTTCACCAAAACCTTAATTTTAAATAGGTAATGTACCATGTATGGCACATCATTGAAAAGGTAATTTATAGGGAATTCAGAAATATTTCTGTACATTGCGTTACTTTAATTTTATCGCCCTCTAGCGGAAAAAAACTATTACATATTACAGAGTTTGGCACTACAATGTGTAGTACATCATTAAAAAGGTAATTTTATGTGGAATTTATAAATATGATTGTTTATTGTAATACTTTTAATTGTACCGCCGTCTATCGGGATAAAAAAAACTACGTATTATAAAGTGTGACACCTTATTTAAAAGCAAATTTAATTACTAATTCATAGCACTACATAAAATTAATATAAATATCCTCCATATCGGACGTGCAATAGTTTGAAAATTAGTCATGCATTATTTTAAACATTATTATGCTAACTTTATTTTGTTGCGAGGGCAATATGGAAATATTTATATTAATGATATGTGGTGCATTAAATTAGTAATTAAATTAGCTTTCAAATAAAGTGTCACACTTTATGATACGTTACAGGTTTTTTATCCCGATAGAGGGCGCTAAAATTAAAAGTATGGCAATAAACCGTCATATTTGTGTACTTCCCCACAAAATTACTTTTTAATGATGTGCCGTACATGGTACATTCTTTATTTAAAATTAAGTGGTTGGAGAAGTGGAAGGGAGGGGGTTGACATATGACAGATGCCTGTACTGATATAATGTGTTTAATTTAGAATAAAAATCGACCTGTTTTAGCATTTTCTTAAAATCCAATAATTAATGCCGAAAAACAGGATGAAACTGTTTTGAGTGACCCACTCTGGTATATCAAAAATGGCTAGATTTATCGATTTAGTTCATAGAATAAAATCTGCTTAAAATGCATTTTTTACAAGATGTGCTATATAAGAAAGATCCCCATATCAAAAATAAACTATTGAGCGCAGCGCCGTCTACATATTGACCTATTTAAAATTAATTTATATTTAAAAATGAAGCTCTCTTAGCGCTCTATGAACTGGCTTTCACAAAATTAAAATATCTCTATTACTTACCAAAATATCCGGCCTGGGAGTTTTATCTATTTGTTAAATAATTGAATGACGTTATGCAAATGCAACTAACAATACAATAAGGTAATATTGGTTGCCTAGATGTCAGTAATTTTTTATCAAAACATAACAAAATGCCGTTTCATATAACTCGTTTATGTTGCGGGACCTCGCTCTGATCGTCCCGCAAATATTCACTCGTTACATAAAATAAGGCATTTCATAACTGGTTGCATACACAGCTATTATTGATGGAGAAAGGTTTTGACCTTTAAATTATAAGTTATCATATGGTCGCTTTATGCAAAATGAAGAATAGGTTAAATGCAGTCGAAATATATCACTAATCCAATTTTTAGTATATTGTGGGTTGGTCGCTTTCTGCAAAAGTTAGTTTAATTGTCTTACCATAACTCAGTACCAGTCCATCCCTTAAAAACAATCTGTAAAGGTCATACACGTTTGACTTTCGTATGTGTTTTGGATTTTGCAAAATCGCTTGAATCAAATCTGCATCACAGGTTGCAACCACGAGTTGCGTCCCTAAGTAATACTTGACTGTTTTTCCATATTTTGCTATTAGATTATCGAAGAATGTATTTATTGCTATAAAAAAAAAAACTATTTAAAAAATGTTTAACGAAATTAAAAAGAAACCTAAAACATTAAAGGTTTCACTTAAAACAAAATATTGTTAATGTAATAACCAACCTATTTAAATATATACAGAGTGTGTTTTAAGTATGGAACACCTGAATTATCTTACTTTGGTGTGTAAAGGTTTTGTAATACTGCAGATATTATAGTTAAATTTGCATTTTTGTCAGATCTTTCGTTTTTCTGGAAATGTAATGAACTTTGTTATTTCAAATGTCTAACCTCGTATATTTTTTATTTTTTGAAATCCTTAAAAAATAATGATTATTATTTTTGTAATGTTCCCTACACCCAAATGCCATAATTTCGGAGTTATAGCTACATTTACATTATCTTTTAAAACTTTGCAATACGTTTTGCAACATCCCTGAATTCTTCTTATCTCTGTGGTTATCCTATCTTTTAATTCCTGAATATTGGTAGGTTTTGTTTTATAAACGATGTTTTTTAAGTAACCCCACAGGAAATAATCTAAAGGATTCATGCCGGGTGATCACAGAGGCCATTCGTTAAAACCACGCCTTCCAATCCGTCTTCTGCGAAACACATTATTTAGGTATTGCCTCACCTCACGCGCATACTGAGCTGGAGCACCATCTTGTTGCAGCCAAATATTGTCGTTTGGGATATTGTTATTGTCTGAAAGTTTCGAATAATGAAATGTATACGTTAGAATGTAATTAAACATACTTGGATTTGGAAATAACCGTGCCGACTCATGTATAAGGTAAGGTGGGGTAAGTGTGTAGAGGCATCATAACTTCTATTCGGTGGTTTATTACGGCTCCATCTATGAGCAAGGGGTACAACTACATGTTATGTCATTTTCTAATGTAGAGTGTTTGAGCTCAAATAATTCCTAGACACGCAGTGGTATCCAAAGAAAACACATGACAATGTGGGTACTGAACACAATTTGGTTAATAATTTTTAATCTGAGGTCGTCCTCAAAAAGCAAAGTGATTTTATCAATTAAATCGATATGGTAAGTTGAAAAAGTAAGTCTTTTCGTAGATTTGCAAATATTTTTGTATTGTTTAGATATAACCTAAACATTTTATTTAATAAACAAGTTGTCCCTCAGAAATCTCATGTGTGTGCAACAAGTGTATAGTAAATAGTATAAGAAAGTGTGCAGTATACTACACATTTGCCCCATGGTAACGTGTTTTTGTTATATTTTAGGAAACCATGGTACGTTGTTACAAAAAAAATCTAACAAACGTTCAACGTACGATGAGGTCACCCTTCAGAGAGCATTGGTAAAAATATAAAGAGGAATAATTACCCAATACGGTGCTCATAATAAATATGGTATCCCCCAGATGACACCACAGGCGAGGAATTAGAGGCAAGAAAAGTTCATCTATGGAAAGATCCACGGCAATTCCCATTAATGAAGAAGCTAAACTCGCCCGAATGTTTAATCTCGACGAAAAAATGGGGATGACATTTTTAATACGTGATATTTTTAATACTGTTGAGCAATATGTCACTAGAAATAACCTTAAAATACCATTTGAGAATGGGCGACCGGGAGAAGATTGGTTTTTTGGGGTTTTCCAAGAGACATAATTTGTCAATAGAAAAACCTCAATCGGTGGAATAAGTAAGAAAAAAGTGTTTGGATCCTTTTATTATAAATAACTATTTTGACTTATTGAAGAAACAGACGAATTTAGCTTACACGATAAACCTCGTCAAATTTGGAATCTAGATGAAACCAGCTTTTCTCTGGATCCATCAAAGACTAAAGTGGTGTGAAAACGTTCATCTCTAACAACTGCTGGATCTGAAAAAGAAAATACCACCGTATTGATGGTTGTTAGCGTTGATGGATTTAAACCTCCTTCATTGATCGTGTTTAAAGAAAAAAACATGTGGGATGACTGGACTGCTCCTTCTACAGAAGAATACTCAGGAACTTCGTATGCTGTGACTGCCAATGGATGGATGGAATACCAACTGTTCTTAAATTACTTCGAAAAAACTTTCTTAGAAGTATTTGGACTTGATTGGTCCCTCTTACTTATAAATGTTGTCACGTGTCTCACGTCGATGACAGACTAATAAAAGTTGCCCGCGATAATAGAGTAACAATCCTTAAGCTTCCGCCCCATTCATCTCACATTTTACAGCCCCTAGATTTAAGCGCTTTCAAGTCTTTAAAAGTAAAGTGGGATCGAACACTTGTGCAATGGCAGATACATAATGAGGGAAGAAAGTTACCCAAAAAGAAGTTTAGTTCATTAATAGGACAAATTTGGAAAGAAACAGACCCTGAGATAATTTGCAACGGTTTTATAAAAGGTAGCATTTACCCTTTTTACTCTAACGTAGTTAACAAAGAAAAATATGATGCTGCAGCGTATAAGAGATGGGAGGACCAACAACGTAGTCCTGGTCAGGTATTGAATAACAATCAAAGTCACTCGCTACAGCCAGGTCTCACTGGGAGAAACGTAGAAAACCTATTGGCTATGGTTAAACAATCAAAACCTACTGAAAAACAAAGAGTGGCTAAAGGTGCGGAGGTCATAACAAATGATAAAGTTCAAAGTCTCACGAAGGAAATGTGAACAAAACTTTGAAGAAAAGAAAAATGGAGAAAACTCAAATGAAAATATTTTATTTAACGACAGTGACGACGATATAGAGGAAGAGATTATAGAGATGAAAGAACTTAATGCATGCATGACGGAAATAAATAAACCTTTGACAGTATAGATAAAGGTGACTGGGTTTATTCGGAAAAAAATTAAAAAAATACTGTTGGTCAAGTTATGAAGGCAAAGAAAGAGGAAGAAGAATTGGAAATGAAATCTATCAAAAAAGTACTTTCCTTAGATCCCTTATCCTCTTTAACTTTTGCGTGGAAATATTATTGCTAGAGAGGATATAACATTAACCCTTTCTAAACCGACCTTTTCTTAAACGTGGTCTAATACGGTTTGAATTAAATTTTTTATCTTATAACATACAATAAAACTATAATATCATCTAAAATTAATTGTTAAAAATGTATGTTTTCTATTTTTGCATACTAAAATTTGATTTTAAGTTTAATTTAGCGATTATAAAATTTAGCGATTGTAACTTTTACGACTCATTATTATTTTTAAATAAAAAGTTTGTAACTCATAGATCGATTTTCCTTTTTTATAAATGTTTATAGCATATTAAACATCGTTCTTTTGAGACTTACACATATGTCCCCTGACCTTCTTTAAATGCATAAATAAGCAAAATATACACTAAGTACACACTTGCACCCACTTTAAGGGGTAAGTGTGTACCTGGTTTTAAAAAAATAGCACAAAATGAAAAGTTTTAACATTTTAATGATTTTGCTACTACCGCATATTAGGAAGACAACAAGTAACGTATTGATGTCAAGAAATTTAATTATTTTCTTTGGGTGAATTGTTACGAGTACATATAAATAAACTTGCATAATTTTACTAAACTTTTACCCCACCTTACCTTAATACTATTTTCCAATAAATTTAAACGAGCGGGACCATTTATGTTTTCTTCAATGAAAAAGGGACCAACTATTTTGTCGCCTATTATTCCAACCCATACATTAAGTTTTTCTGGATATTGGATGTGGGATTCATGCAACCATAGAGGATTGTTACGTGAACACTATCTACAATTTTGTCTATTTACGTTTCGTTTAATACAAAAAGTGGCCTCATCGCAAAACATAACATTACTTAAATATTTGGATCGTTTCGATTGTAACATTTTCCCATCATTATGTCTATCAAAATCGTCATCTGACAAATTTTGAACCAACCTTACTTTCTATGGATGAAATTTATTATCACGTAAAATTATCATTACGGATATTTGTTTAGTGCTCAAGTGTGGATCGTCTTCTAACATGACACCAAAGCTGTTTAAAATCATTTTAAAAAACTGGAGGTCGAAAAAAATCATGATTCCTATACTTTCCTTATCTGTATACAGATAGGAAAGTAAAAAGATTTAAATCAAAGATCATAAATCGTCTGCAATTGAACAAATGATTTATATTAAAGATCGATTTTTTAAAAAGAAAGATTTAAATTAAATTAATTTTTAGATTTAAATCTTTTTTACAATTTAAATCATTTTAGGAAAGTTTTAAATCTTTTCGAAAGATCTAAATCTCTTTAAACGATTTAAATATTTTCAAAAGATTTAAAACTTTTTAAAATATTTAAATCACTTAAAAGCATTTAAATTATAAAAAATTATTATATCGTTTTTTTTTTCGGTATATTCTGCTTGAAAATTTAGGAGTCAATAAAATAATTTAAAACATTGTTACATTTACATTTACACGACACACACACAATTTTGGTTACAATAATAGTTTAAACTAATAATGTAAAATTTTGCAGAGGATTATACTTTACAGAGTTCTCAAAACTGAATGTTTGGCAGAACTAGTTGGTATTTTTCAGAAAGATTTAAATCATAAATCAAAAATCATTTTCTCAAAAAAGATTTAAAATATTTAAATCAAAAAATGTATTTAAATCTCACTGATAGGTGACAGCTCTGCATGACACAAACTTTGAAAGATTTATTTTCAATTAATGTAGATTTTCTGCTCCCTGATTTGGATAAATCTTTTACTGAACCATGTTGGTTATTTTTTTTACCAATTTACTTACAGTAGTTCTTGTTGTGGGATTTCAGTTAAAATATAAATTATTAAAGATATTACACGTTTCATGTTGACTTCTACGCATATCACCATATCCTAATATCTTTAAAATCCCAATTCTTTCTTATTATTTATGTATTTATTGAAACGTCAAAGTTGTTATTATCATCAGTCATAAATGTATTATTTTAACTTTCGCGGAGATAATGTAAATGTTGCTGTAACTCCGAAATTATGGTTTTAGGTATAACATTACATAAAAAATAATCAGTATTTCCTAAGGATATCG